GCCCTGTTCATCCATTCATGCCAGCTGACTTGATTTCTGATTGTGCAGGCGTCCCTGGAATCCTGCTCTGTCTACTGCATCTGGCACCCTAGTCCTAGCATCTGCCAGAACCCCTTCTGAGCCTGTGGCATTCTACTACAAAAAATGCCCAAAAAGGACTCTGCTCAGCCTACAGAAATTCTCTCAACTTTAGCTTTGGATTCAAGCTCCAATGTGATCTTGCTTCCAAATGTCTGCGTGTGTGCTGTCACTTCAGTCATTTGTGGCTCTTTCCGACTCTGTGGACTGTAGTCCGCCAGGCTCCTCCGCCCATGGCAAGAATACTGGAGTGGGATTCTGGTGCTCTCCTCCAGGGGATCTTCCTCACCTAGGGATCCAACCTGTTTCTCCAGCAGCTCCTGCACTGCAAGCTAGTTCTTTATGGCTGAGTCACCAGTGGTGAGTTGCTCAGTTTTGTCTGACCTTTTGAGAACCGTAGACAGTAGACCACGAGGCTCCTCTGTCAAGGGGATTTCCCAGGCAAGAATACTGGAGTGGGTTGCCATTTCCTCCTCCAGAAGCCACCAGGAAAGCCCCTCCAAATGTCTGCCACCAACCTATTGCCATTCCTTCCAGCTAGACAATATCCCTAATCTTTCCTTATATCTGAGAATTTCTTACAGTTTTCCCTCAGTTATTACAATGTTTTCATGTCCAGTTTCTGCATATTCAAATCTCACCAAGTGTTCTTATCTTATCTCTTGGGTTTAAGGTACCAAAGTCTTCTGGAAAGTACTTATAATAAATATAATAAATCCCAAAGGCTATCTCCAGTGAATGTTATCCTGAAATTCAACAGAAGGTGCATATCCACTACCTCACAGGAAAGTCCAGTTATGTTAACTGTCATTAAAGAAAAAATACATGAAGGGGAATCTCTGGGCAGTCCAGTGGTTAAGACCCTGCACTTCCAAAGCAGGGATCATGAGTTTGGCTCCTAGTTGCAGAACTAAGGTCCTGCATGCCCCATGGTGTGACCAAAGCAAAAAATAAAAATAAAGTATTCAAGGACTCACCTATTACTATTTCAAGAAGCTAGAAAAAGTAAAACAAATCTCAAAAAAGCAGAATAAGAAGACAGTAAGGTAAGAGCATGTGTTTGAGTAAACGCCAGGAGTGGGTGATGGACAGGGAGGCCTGGCGTGCTGTGATTAATGGGGTCTCAAAGAGTCAGACACGACTGAGCGACTGAACTGAACTGAACTGAACTGAAGGTAAGAGCAGAAATTAATGTCAAGAAAACAAAAACAACACAACTCTAAAAGCTGTAACTTTGTAACTTTAAAAGCTGGATTGCTGAAAAATGTGGATGTTGCTTGAAGGAGTCTTTGGGCCTAGAAGAGAAAACAACAGTCTCAAAGGCCCTTGCTGAATCATCTAACTTTGAGGAAAACAAAACCCAACTTTAGGTCCTGCCCTAATGCTCTAGGCCGGTTGTATCTATCTGGGACTTATCATCCCCTGTCCAGAAACCTTCCACCCCCTACACCTGCCCAGAAGACTTATCATCCCCTGCCCAACTACAAATGCCATCTAAACTAAAGAATACCCAAAACATCTCGCCTGATTAAAGTTTCCCTTATCGCTTCCACAAACCTCCCTATAAATATGGCGCCTCCCTGATCCCTCTGGAGTTCAGCCTGGTCATTAGGCCTACTGTCACCCCTCCTTGCCTGAATAAAGGTAACCTACTTCCAGTGAGGTCGTCTTTCCTTTTCTGCCTCTGCCGGAACTATACCTTACATTGGTACTTCCTTTAAAGGAGAAACAGGAGGAAAAAGCACAACAATACAAAATTATGCCAAAGAGAAACTCGCCCCATATACAGAGGAAAGAAAGATGTGTGAGACTATTATGCAGTATTATGATTAGTTTATTTGAAAATTTAAATAAGATTGATGCTTTACTGTGAAAATATCTTACCAAAATTAGATTAGAAAGAGATAGAAAACCTGAAGAAGCTAGTGACATAGAAGAAATTAAGAAAATTATTCTCAAAAACCCTGGCCCCAGATCATTTCATGTGAATCTTTCAAATACTGAACAAACAGATGTTTCTGATGCTGTTTAAAGTATTCAAGAGCAGAGATATGTAGAAAATATCTTAATTTATTTTTTAAAATCATTAATCTTGTAAACTAACAAAAACAAAGCTAAAAATTAATTTTACTTCTGAAAGAAATGAAAAAGAAAAAAAAGTCTAAAAACATGTATCTCCACATATAAATTTTATATTTGTTCAGTCGTGTCTGACTCTTTGCAACCCCATGGGCTGTAGCCTACCAGGCTCCTCTGTCCACGGGATTTTCCAGGCAAGAATACTGGAGCGGGTTGCCATTTCCTTCTCCAGGAGATCTTTCCAAACCAGGGATTGAACATAGTTCTCCCACATTGTAGGCAGACGCTTTACCATCTGAGCCACCATGTAATATATATATCTCAAATCAAGCCAGAAATACATTAAAAGAGTAAAACACCAAGACCTAGGGAGGTCCAGTTCATGAATCAAGAAATTAAGAATGGTAACATATTAGGAAATTTGACCATATAATTTAATTTTAAATTATTTTTAATAAGTCAAAAGGCAAAAACCATCTGATTGCCTTTTGGAATGTTGAAAATGCATTTCATAAAATTCCTCCACTCATTTCTTACAAACCTGTTAATAAAATGAAAATGTAGGGGTGTTCCCTTATCATGAGGACAACATTTCTCAAACCCAAAGCCAGAATATGTTTAATGCTAAAACACACTAAAGACATTTCTAATAAAGTCAGATACAAGTGGGGGTCTGAGAGCACCATTATTATTGGATATGGTTCTAGAATTTCTTGTCAATGCAATTAGAAAAGGATGGAATTTAAACATGTAATTAATAAAAAGGAGTTTCCAAAACTCATTATTTACATATCATATGGTTGTACATCTAAAAAGAAGAAAAAGAGAAGCATCTTAAATCTGCTAGAAAAACAAGAGAGTGAAGAAATAGATTATTTACAAAATTAACACTAAAAATAACTTCTATTAAATTTTAGGTCAAGATGGTAGATGAAGAACATGCTAAAGCACTCCCTTACATGCCTAAAACATAGTAATACTAGACAGAATATTATTTAAAATACTTGAGTGTTCAAATAGTTTAAGAATACATGTCTCAAAGGAAAGAAAAAGGGAATTCCCTGGTGATCCACTGTTTAAGAACTTGCCTTCCAGTGCAGAGGACCTGGGTTTTTTTTGTTTGTTTGTTTGTTTCTGGAAAACTTTATTTATTTATTTATTTTTGAAACTATCCAACTGAATAAAGCTCTTATAGAATTATTATTATTGTTGTTTTACAATATTGTAGTGGTTTTTGTCATACATTGACATGAATCAGCCATGGATTTACATGTATTCCTCGTCCCGATCCCCCCTCCCACCTCTGGAAAACTTCATATTGAAATTAATTTCTGCCTGAGAAGACTATTGAAACTCCTAAGTTGGCTACCTGGAAGACAATGTATGTAATGAAACACATATAATACTGCTTTTTATTTTGGAAAACTATGCTACAAATGTTTCTGTCATATGTGCTTAACAGTGGCTGGAAGATCAACGAAAAACAATATTTACCTCTGTGACCACAGAAGACTGGTGACTGGTGACAGCATCTGCTATTTGAAGCTGGTGTTGCTATTTTGTCAGCTACAATTGCAAAAGCTTTTTCCTTTACTCAGGTTCTTAGAACACCTATTTTCCTAAGGAATTCAATGATAGTTCTAAGTAAAAACAGTAAGTAGTACAACTAACTACTACTGTTTCCTCTTACAGTCAACCCTAATTTCTTTCTGTGAGACATGATGTTTACAGCACCAAATTTTCCACTGGTAAAAAATTATTCATGCTTCTTAATTTTGAAAATTCTCATAAACTTTAGGATTAAACTGTGCTTGGTAAATTTTTTAGACTAAGAACACTGGATGAGCTTTTCTTCATTGGTGTCAATTCTGGTGTCAAAGTCTTGAGCATTTACTGAAGATTGCATGTGTTATAGATGGGTTCTCTGGTGTTTAATAAGGTGCGAATTTTGACTGAATTTTTTTCCACATTCATGATGTGTAAAGGGCTTCTCTCTTGTGTGAGTTCTTTGATGTGTGTGGAGATGTGAATTTTGCCCAAGCTTTTCCCACACCAGGAGCATTTATATGGTTTTACTCCTTGGTGTGTTATTAAGTACTTATTAAGATCTGACCTCCATCTAAACCACTTATCACACTGTTGACATTTATATGGTTTCTCTTCAGTGTGAATTCTTGTTGGGGTCATTTAATGGACCAGAACCTGGTGGTCTAGAGTCGACGATAAGAAAGTAAAAGAGAGAAAGAGAGAGAGAGAGAAAGAAAGACAGACACGGGGACCCAAGCTCTGATGGAGCAAGGGTATTTTATTAGCAGAAATGCAGGCTTATATATCTTTAGTAAGATGGTTACTCAGCTATTACACAGGATGAAATTTTATCAATAGTCACAATATGGATAGTCTAGAATTGATGCTTTTGAACCGTGGTGTTGGAGAAGACTCTTGAGAGTCCCTTGGACTGCAAAGAGATCCAACCAGTCCATCCCAAAGGAGATCAGTCCTGGGTGTTCATTGGAAGGACTAATGCTGAAGCTGAAACTCCAATACTTTGGCCACCTCATGTGAAGAGTTGACTCATTGGAAAAGACCCTGATGCTGGGAGGGATTGGGGGCAGGAGGAGAAGGGGAAGACAGAGGATGAGATGGCTGGATGGCATCACCGACTCGATGGACAAGTGTTTGAGTAAACTCCAGGAGTTTGTGATGGACAGGGAGGCCTGGCATGCTGCAATTCATGAGGTCACAAAGAGTTGGACATGACTGAGCGACTGAACTGAACTGAATACATACAAGGTTGCTGACGCCGAAAAGAGTCGTTGAAGGGGGTTCATACATGTCTCATCCTATGACCTCAGTCCTGGGAACAACGTACATGCTGTTTCATTCGTTCCTGGAATAGGAACTGATAAGAAACAGAGAATCGTTGATAAATGGCAACATATTGGATTCCTTAAAGTCAAATGTCCCCTGACAAATTCTTTGGTGCTTAATAAGGTCAGAGCTAACTCTGAAGCTTTTTCCACATTCCTGACATTTAAAAGGCTTCTCTGTTGCACGTTCTTTCTTATGAAGCTCATAAATTTCAGCAGCTCTTCTTCCCACCAGTTGAAAAGTTTCTTTCTTTCCTTCACTGGTAAATATTGGTGCCATTTCCTCAGCCTATGCAAATCATCATGATTTTCTTTGCCCATTGTTTTCTGATGAACATTCACACTGGCTTTTTTTGATACTATGTCTCCTGGTGCTTGTATTTCTAAGTCAGGAAGACACATAGGTTGATGATTTTCCATGTCATTTTTCAGCTTTATCTCTGAAAGCAGCTCTCCAAGATTGTCTTTGAACACTGGAGATCCTTGAATGTATGGCTTTTCCCCTTGCTCTAAACAGGAGATCGCTTTAGGTTTGGGGAGCAGAAATAATTCTAGAGAGATGACAGTCTCACAGTTTTCGTGCATTACGTCGTTGTAGAGGGCCTTCTGAGTGGGATCCAGTAGCTCCCATTCTTCCTGGGAAAAGTATATGGACACTTCCTCAAATGTCAGCAAACTCTGGGACTCAGGCAAGATGAACTCAGGTGCCACTGTCCAGTCTTTGACGTTTGTTTGCTCGGGAAGGGCTGGTATCTGGTAAGTAGGTATCACCCTCTCACATACAGGCTCAGGTGCTTTGTTGGTATTGCTGCTCGGCAGCTCTTGTAGACCCAGGTGTATATTCCGAACTTCTTCCTCCCGGGACATGCCCACTGGCTGGGACTCTGCTGGCTTTAACTGGAAGCCTGGGGCCTCTGCTGCTTCTCCCAAGAGCACTGCCTCCTTTCCCAGCTCCTGGACTGAAGCCTTCAGATCTACTGTCATCATTCTGATCTAGGAACAGTTCTGCTCCTGTGCTGGATACACCACCAGCTCCAGATCTGACAGCTGAGGCCCAGTCTGGTCTGGAACAAGATCAATGAAACAATCTTCTTCCTTTATCCTTCTGGGAAGATGAAGCCGGTCTTCACCTGGTCAGGAAGCTAGGATCCCACATGCCACGGGGCAACTAAGCCTGATCCCCTCAACTAGAGAAAAGCCCAAGGCCCACAATGCAAGATCTTGAGTGCTGCAACTAGGACCAAAAGTAAGGAAATAATAATAATTTTTAAAAAGGCAAGAAGAGGGAATTCCCTAGGTGTCAGATACAGAGCAGTAGCTGAGGTTATGTAGCCCTCACAAGGACCAGAGACGGGCTGCAGAGGCTGCTGTTCAAAAGCCCATAGACCTGGTGTTTAATGAGGACCTGGGGCTGGAGCCAGGACCAAGCTGCCATCCACAAACAGGAATCGGAGTGTCCTTCCACTCGCCCAGGTTCTCAGCAAGAAGACAGAGTTAGTCCTCCCAGACTGGAATCATATAATTGGAACCTTAGGTCTGTTGTACCACACAACATGTAGAACCTGCATTCCAAAAGCAGCAAAATTCAAATCAATCCACAAACATAAAAAATGGTCTTATCTAGAGTCAGGGGACTCAAAACAGTACCCGAGCAGAGGCAACCAAATGGAGTTTCCCCAAATAGAGACACCCTCGCCCCCTACAAGCCAGGTCACATGAGTAACAATTCCTTGAGCAAGAATTATACATGTGAGGAAATGCAATACTGTTTAAATACAATGTATACTCTCCTGAAGAAGTAAAGCTACTAGAACCATCTAAAAGAGAAATTAAAAATAAATATATTGGAGATGTGTGAATAAAGAAAGAATGACATCATTAAGCATAAATAGGAGGTGGTGTTCTACCAGCATGACTCAAGCCAGTAAGGCATTCACCCTTAGTCACTTGCACTGCCAGATTCTTTCCAACAATCTGCTGAATGAGGTCCCTGTGGACCCACATGTCTGGTCCCAACTCCTGCAGTCCAACTTCTGCAGGTGATTTCCTCTTTGGGAACCTTGGATATAAAGGTGCCACCATCTACTTCAACAGCATTTCTTAAAAATGAGTTTCTAATAGAAGGGGTTGTGCAGGGGCCATCATCTACTTCTACCTAGAAGATCCTCATTTTCTTAGGCCACTCCACCCCTCTATCTAGAGCACAGTAGGGGATGGGGTTTCAGGAAGGGACAGAGGCCTTAATGGAAACACAGAAAAAGTTCTACTGCACCCTTCCCTCAAGGTTGCCCAAGGGCCTTTTCCATGGTGACTTGCTTTCAGATTTGTCTATTGTTGTTTCAAAATTTCAACTCCACAGCCATCTTTTACATTTTGTTTATAAATCCAGACATGATTCAGCATGCAGAATAATTTGCAAACAGAAGTATTATGATCTCAGTAAACAACATTGAAAGTTATGTGACAAGATATGACTTTTCTCTTATTAGAACTTAAAAAATTACAATAGTCTCCCCCTAAATCACAACTTAACTTTCCACAGTTTTAAATACCCATGGTCAACCTCAATCCAAAAATAGTAAATGGAAGATTCTAGAGAGAAACAACTTGTAAATTTTAGATTTCATGCAGTTCTGACTAGTGTGATGAAATCTCAAGTGACTTGCTCTGTCATGTCATTTGAACAATCCCTTTGTTCAGTATCTCCCGTCCATTACCCACATAGAACCCATCTAAGGTTATCAGATAGCTGGCGGTAGTATTGCAGTGCTGATGTTCCAGTGACCCTATTTTAAGTAATAACAGCGCTTGGAATAGTGCTGCTGACCATTTTGATACACTAGAGAGAAGCTATAAAGTGCTTCCTTTAAGTGAAAAGGTGAAAGTTCTCTACATAATAAGGAAAGAAAAAAGTCCTTATGCTGATGTTCCTGTGATCTACTTAGGACTATTCATTCTTAAGAATGGATGAATGACTATTACTGTAAGAATTAATATTACTGTAATTGTAAAGAAGGAAAGAGAAATTTGTGCTAGTTTTGCTGTTGCATCTCAAATTACAAAAATTGTCGTTGCAGCACCTGGTAAGTGCTTAGATAAAATGGAAAAGGTAATAAATTTGTACAATAAGATATTTGGAGAGAGGAAAAATACAACCCTATAGCTTATATTACAGTATATTATTATAATTGTTCTATTGTTATTACTATTTTTAATCTCTTACTGTGCCTAAATTATAAATTAAACATTACTATAGATATATTTATGCAGAAAAATAAACCAGTGCAGTTGATCCTTGATTAACATGGGGGCTAGGGGCACTTACACATAGTTGAAAATCCAAGTAACTTGCTGTCAAGCCCTCTGTATCCGAGGATCAATGCAATATTTTGCCATCTCAAAAAGGAAGATCCTGTCATGTGCTACAATATGGATGTACTTTTAGGATAGTATACTAAGTGAAGTAAGCTAGTTACAAAGATTCAGTATTGATTATTTCATTCACATGAGGAATTCTAATAAAAATAGGAAGTACAAGAGTGGACAGGGAGGGGATATTAAGTGTTGAGTTTCAGTTTTGTAAAATGAAAAGTTTTAGAGATCTGTTGGGAAACAGTAAGGAGAGAATGGCTACCCACTCCAGTATTCTGGCCTGGAGAATTCCATGGACTATATAGTCCATGGGGTTGCAAAGAATCGGACATGACTGAGTGACTTTCACTTCACTTTCACAACTGAATATTTTAAAATGTTTAAGATGGTAAATTTAACATTTTGTAATTGCAACCACAATTAAAAATAAAATAAAATTTTAGACCCTGGAGGTAATAAGCTAAAACACAAAAAGCACAGTTATGAAAAAAGATATATAAGCAAACATTTGGAATTTCACATTATTCATATTGCTGTCTACTTTAGTAATGTGAACAAGTAGATAATCTGCGTGATTTTTCATTTTGTCTTCTGTTAAATGGGGGACAATAGCACAGAAGACTTTTGTGATGATAAAGGAGATCGTGTGTGTATGAAAAGCATGCTCAGTTCAGTTCAGTCGCTCCAGCTCTTTGCAACCTGATGGACTGCAGCACGCTAGGTCTCCCTGTCCATCAGCAACTACCAAAGCTTGCTCAAACTCATGTCCATTGGGTCGGTGATGCCATCCAACAATCTCATCCCCATCTCCTCCCCTCTTCCATCTTTCCCAGCATCAGGGTCCTTTCAAATGAGCCAGTTCTTCCCATCAGGTGGCCAAAGAATTGGAGTTTCAGCTTCAAGATCAGTCCTACCAATGAATACTCAGGATTGATTTCCTTTAGGATGGACTGGTTGGATCTCCTTGCAGTTCAAGGGACTCTCAAGAGTCTTCTCCAACACCACAGTTTAAAAGCATCAATTCTTCAGTACTCAGCTTTCTTCACAGTCCAACTCTCACATCCAAACATGATTACTGGAAAAACCATAGCCTTGACAAGACAGACTTTATTGGCAAAGTAATGTCTCTGCTTTTGAATAAGCTATCTAGGTTGCTCATAACTTTTTTTCCAAGGAGTGAGCATCTTTTAATTTCATAGCTGCAGTCACCATCTGCAGTGATTTTGGAACCCAGAAAAATAAAGTGTGACACCGTTTCCACTGTTTCCCCATCTATTTCCCAGGAAGTGATGGGACCAGATGCCATGATCTTAGTTTTCTGAATGTTGAGCTTTACACCAACTTTTTCACTCTCCTCTTTCACTTTCAACAAGAGGCTCTTTAGTTCTTCTTCACTTTCTGCCATAAAGGTGGTGTCATCTGCATATCTGAGGTTATTGATATTTCTCCCTGCATTCTTGATTCCAGCTTGTGCTTCTTCCAGCCCAGCATTTCTCATGATGTACTCTGCATATAAGTTAAATAAGCAGGGTGACAATACACAGCCTTGATGTACTCCTTTCCCTATTTGGAACCAGTCTGTTGTTACATGTCCAGTTCTAACTGTTGCTTCCTGACCTGCACACAGATTTCTCAAGAGGCAGGTCAGGTGGTCTGGGGTTGCCATTTCTTTCAGAATTTTCCACAGTTTGTGGTGATCCACACAGTCAAAGACTTTGGCATAGTGAATAAAGCAGAAATAGATGTTTTTCTGGAACTCTCTTTCTTTTTCGATGATCCAGTAGATGTTGGCAATTTGATCTCTGCTTCCTCTGCCTTTTCTAAAACCAGCGTGAACATCTGGAAGTTCACGGATCACGTGCTGTTGAAGCCTGAGATGAGTGCAATTGTGCGGTAGTTTGAACATTTTTTTTTTTTTTTGGCATTGCCTTTCTTTGAAATTGGAATGAAAACTGACCTTTTCCAGTCCTGTGGCCACTGCTGAGTTTTCCAAATTTGCTGGCATGTTGACTGCAGCACTTTCACAGCATCATGTTTTAGAATTTGAAATAGCTCAACTGGAATTCCATCACCTCCACTAGTGTTTTTTCATAGTGATGCTTCCTAAGGCCCACTTGACTTCACATTCTAGGTTGTCCGTCTCTAGGTGAGTGATCACACCATTGTGATTATCTGGGTTGTGAAGATCTTTTTTGTATAGTTCCTCTGTGTACTCTTGCCACCTCTTCTTATTATTTTCTGCTTCTCTTAAGTCCATACCATTTTTGTCCTTCTTTGAGCCCATCTTTGCATGGAATGTTCTCTTGGTGTCCCTAGTTTTCTTGAAGAGATCTCTAGTCTTTCCCATTCAATTGTTTGCCTCTATTTCTTTGCACTGATCACTGAGGAAGGCTTTCTTATCCCTCCTTGCTATTCTCTGGAACTCTGTATTCAAATGTGGGTATATCTTTCCTTTTCTCCTTCACTTCTCTTCTTTTCACAGCTATTTGCAAAGCCTCCTCAGAAGCCATTTTGCTTTTTTGCATTTCTTTTTCTTGGGGGTCGTCTTGATCCCCGTCTCCTGTACAGTGTCACAAACCTCCTTAGTGCCTACCATACAGCAGAGGTTCAGT